CAGTACAAATCGGCAATTTCATACTTTAACCCCTATTATTTATATGGCCTATATTAGTTTCTCTCGTGATATTGGGTGTAATTTGTGGTTGTCTATATGTACGTCAATGGCCCCCGCGACACAGGGTTTCCCTAGTGCGGGGCCATGTTTAATGTCTGCGTTATTATTATTAAGTGTCAAAGTAAAAGAAAATAGTTTTAAGTTAAAATTGTCAACAAAATATTGCAATATAACTTTTTATAACAAAAACCCGACCTCAAAAGTTTGCTAATCCGTTTTTGGTGTGTTCGATTTCCTTGGAATTACATCTATGTGCCAAGTTTTATTAAAAGTGGATGAATTTTAATAAACCGGATTCATTCGCTAATTTGTCACTCTTGAAGGTGTCAGTCATATTTTCTTCAAATTTAAATGGAACCATTACCGAGGTAGTACCTTTCCAACAAAAAAGAATCATCGAAATCGGTTCACAAAGTCGGTGTAATCGCAACAATAAAAAAATACAGACGAAATGAGAACCTCCTCCTGTTTTGAAGTCGTTTAAAAATACTATTAAAATGTGGAGTCATGTTTTGAAGGAGAGCCATCTATCAGTTAGTATATATATGAGTTTAATTTAAAAAAATTAAAGTTGGAAACTACAGTAAAATACTTATAAAGGCAATCGTCCCGTAAAACATTTTACTATCAATTTTGTGATGTTTACCCACGTGGTGATCTATAATTTCTGAGATGATAGAATCGTCCAAGTGGCATTCATGAGCTTAGGGCCCGTGGGTCAGTCCCGTTAGCCAAGTCGCCACTCCGCAACGGTACACACCGACCATCGTTAGCGTAGAATAAAAGCGCTAAAGTAAAAAGATGTATAGGTGGTACATTTTGATAGTTTGGGAGAAATATTATGGGCTAATAAGTTTTTTGTTATGAACTCGGCAATAGAGATAAGAGTACCTAAATATACAGGGTAATAGGTACTTGATTGTAAATATTAAAAGGTATTGTTGTAAATAATAATTCGAAAAAAATGTTTGACATTTCTGTCCAAAATTAATTTTTCAACTTGTTGTATATATGTTTTTTTATCAAAGCGTAATTTCTTTGCAAAGCCAAAAATGTTATAGCAAAGTTTTTGTTTTAATTACTATATACTATTTTACTGTATACATAGCATTATTTAATAGAAAGTAAAAAGCAATAGAAACTAGAAGAGTAATTTTAATAATTAATAATTTATTTTTAGAGTAATTTAATGTACAGTCGCACCTTGGGGCATAGTGCTCAGAAACCCCTCTTCACTTTTCGTTAGTTTAACTTATTTTTTGGACGAACCAATTTTATTACCAGCCTTTAAATCATCGGGGGCTTAACGAGGCTAAATTATATCTTCTTCGCTAGGAGTTTCGCCCGTAATCAGGATGGTCTCTGGGTTTTTACAGCCGCGGGATTGGCTGAGACTCGGTTCTCGGCTGCAGAGTATGAAATTATGAAAGTGTTGCATGTCGGTATATTCTGCCATATACGACAGGCCATTATGGCCGATTTCGACAACAACATCCCCACACGTGCGTTGCTGGGGTTGGATTGTTCTTACGCCCCGTCAGAAGTAAACATCTAGAAGAAAAATCGTACAGTAGGTAGTCCTCGTCGACCGTGCTCAGTATCTGTGGCATCGACGAGAGGTTCGAATCCGCGAAAAGAACCGACTCTTCTTAGTAAATAGCGGTAAGACGAGCAAGTCTTTAAATTTCTCAAGAACACTATTCCAAGGTTTGACTCAACTCTGTAACATCTCCATCTTTTAATTGGATTTTATATAGTTTTCGAGATAAATTAACTACGAGCACGAATGTATGTATTGATCTTCGTTCAATATTGTTGTTAAATGTTTTATACCTCACGATGGTACAGCAAAGACGACGAACGAATGGTGCAATTTGCACAAAGTTGCCGGAAGTTTGTTCCTAGCGTAAAACCTATTTGTCAAGCTAATATTAGTTTACCTTCACGACTTATTCGGACTGGTTAAAGTTCTAATTAGTACGGCATACACGAGCAATTTTTTAGGTTTAATAAGCACGGGAAGTGTCCATATCAGTAATGGAATATAAAGTAAAAACTGAACATAGTAATTGTAAAGCGTAACGAATTACGTATTTCACTACTTTTTAGAATAACTGTATTTTAACTGATTCAGAAGTAATATAAATAACTGCGCTCCTCAATGGATTTTTAATCGATGACGCAATTGATAATCAATTTAATGATCACGTTATCGATGTTCGCCGCCGTTGGTTCACCGTCGCAGCCGCAATACCGCTATTCTCAGACTATCTCGCCGATATCAGGATGTTCTATTAAATATTCATGACATCGTAACTCTAAGGGTCGTCTTTTACGTTTTATTGGTCTTAATTCGTACTACTAGACTCTTTCCAGAGATTTTATATAGCAGTTTTATCTCTTCGTTTATGGTCAAGTAGCACAGAGGACAGGAGCAAGCCTTTTCCTGTACATTGGTCCTTATCTGTGTCATCGAGTGCACGTCGAGTACATATCATTTCGTGATGAATTGATGCCGCTGACATAAACGTTTCTCGTTTCTTTTCCAACGGGACTGCATTTTTAATTTTAAGTTTTACCAGTTCCTGCAATGAGGTTTTTTGAAACTTGTGTCTACTGGCAGATAAATACGGTAAGATTATAATTTGTTGAGAATTTTTGTTCGTTTGAAAGAGGTATTTTGTTGCACAAAATTGTGCATCTGTGTATAAGGTAGATTTTCAAAGTCGAAAATGGTTTTATTATATTTATATTACAAGGATATCGAATATAAGGAAAAAATCCTTCGATTCGGCTGGTGCTGAAACCTGCGACTTCGCCATACCGTGGTTGATGATCTCCCAACTGAACTACAGAACGAACAGCAGACCTTACGAATTTATCTGTGTAGATGTTTGTTTTTTGGTTTTAATGATTTTTTTTTTGCCGTAGCACCGTCTGTATGAAATCTATGAAACTTTTTCTTCAAATTGTTTTTAAAGGTTCTATTGTTATGATTTTTGAAGCTTTGTACGGCTAACCTATAGAACCGTCGTAGTGCGTAAGGTTACACGAAATCAAGTCAATTGACGACAACATTATAGACCACAGAATCCGAACGAAACTCAATGAGAATCGATTATGTGACGGAAAGTCAGATAACAGATTGAGAGATTTATCTTTACCTCATGCTCTAGTGAGTTAGATCAGGTGTTAATTTCAAGGCAGTGATTACGGCGTGTCACTTGAGCACCTTGGGCAGTAACGGTGCCTGCGCGGCTGCCATTGACGGGGACCTAACGGAATGGTAATAGAAGTACCACCGTGTCTGATGTTTCTTCACACCATGG